TTTGTTATCATGTAACATAATCTGGCAACATCCTCCAAACATCCTCTGATGGTTGAATCGTTTTGTCTTCGTTCACTTTTCACCACAAAGGAACATTGTTTGAAACGACACCTCAAAGGAACATTATTTGAAATGATAAAAATCCTTAGAACATTTTTTGAACTTTAGATTAAAATGTTTTCCTTAAAACATTATTGGAACTTGAAGGTAACGTTAGTCAGTGCTGGCTGAAGTCTGACCTGGATGATATGAGAGAACTAGATGGTTGATAATGTGGCAGCTGATCAGAAATCAGTATTTTGACTTCAATCTATTCAGTTCCTTATAAACTAACAGTTAAAGCTAAATTCTCCTGCACAGGAAGCAGTGATTTGAGGGGAAAAACAATCACAATGCTGAACTTAAAGATGGTCATGACTTTCTTTACGTACTGAAATAAAACTTCAACAAAACTTGGCTGCATTGTTACAAGATCACATTAGGTTTGTGCATTTGGTTTGAACAAGATAAGATTTAGATAAGATTAATCCCACAGTGGGGAAGTGTGCAGTTACAGCAGCAAAAGTGATATGTGTTGGAAACATCAGTAGAAAATATAAATATCAAGAAATGTGCAGGAGTACGGTTGGAATTCTTCCATATGTGGAGTTTCAGATGTTGCATAGATTCCACTGGATGTGGAAAATAATGATGTTGTGCTCGTCTGTATGATGAAAAACAGCAGATTGTGGATGACCTGTGTTGTCTCTAGTGTCTGTTTAGGTCCCTGCCTACCTGACTTCACCTGCAGCAGTCATCATGGGCCGAACGCCACACAGAGGTAAACCCGCTATCCTGCTTCTCCCGATTCTCAGATGTACTAATAGGCAATTTGATCACAAATCAAACACGTCGCAAAGAAAAAAAGATCAAAATCCTCACTCGTGTTGCCCTCAACTTAATTAGATGTTTTTTTGGTGTTTGAGACTCATTTTCTCAGAACTGTTCCAGCGCGTATTTCACCACCTTCATTCTAACAGTGATTGTAGTCTGTGTATCAGAAGCCGCTGAATTCTGATGAGCGGTTCAATCGCCGTTTTGATTTCAGATCAAAAAGAGGAGAAGAAGGAGAGACGAAGCAGCATCACAGCGGGCTCTGCCCTCGACAAATCCAACGGTTGGCTATTCACATCTCTGCCTTGTCGCTCTTCATTGTTGATCCTTTCATTAACAGTATAAAGCCTTTTGAATTAGTAGCTTTTTTAGAATTCAGTCACTTTCGTGTCGCTACTTGCAGTGATCAAACACCTATTTTGGCTTCTCAGGTTAAGAAAAGAGTTCAGAAGGTTTTTTGCAAGTTGATGATGAACATTTCCACTCATTGTTTACTCAGATCATCCTCTTTTGTGCAGACATTTATTGCTGTATGTCTCCTCAGCTGTGCATAAACAAGCACAAAATGGGCAAATGTTCTTTCTATTTAGGTGCACTCTCTTGTACAACCAAGCAGATTAATTTTCATTTACTAAAATAAGCTGATAATTAAGTGGTTTTTTTTTTCAATTTTTTTCAAGTCTGTAATTATAATGTGTTGTTTTTAGCGCTTGTTTATGTTTGTCACTTTACAGTTTTTTCTCTCACACTTTCCAACAATAGATCTGTGTCTACGTAATCGGCACTTCACTTCTTTTATCTTTGTTTGCTAGAACCCTTCAGCTGGGAAGAATATCTGAGAGAAACGTCCTCCATTGCAGCGTCACCGACCTGCTTCAAACAGGTATCTAATCATTAAGAGGCCTTTTGTTTGGATTGTTTCCTCTAATGATTTTTTTTGTACTTGTAGTATTAATAAATATGATCCATCCTGGGGCTGCAAGATGGAACAGTGGATAGCACTGTTGCCTCACAGCAAGAAGGTTGCTAGTTCGTGTCCCGGTGGGGGCACCGGAATCTTTCGGCGTGGAGTTTGCATGTTCTTCCCGTGCAGCGTGGGTTCTCTCGGCGTTCTCTGACTTCTTCCCACAAGTCCAAAAACATGCTGAGGTTAATTGGTGATTTTAAAATTGTCGTAGGTGTGAATGTGAGTGTGCTTGGTTGTCTGTCTCTAAGTGTAGCCCTGCGATAGACTGGCGACCTGTCCAGGGTGTCGCCTGCCTTCGCCCTAAGTCAGCTGGGATAGGCTCCAGCCCCCCCGCGACCCCAGTGAGGACTAAGCGGCATATAGATAATGGATGGATGGATGGATGGATGATCCATCCTGCCATAGCTAATGTTTTGTTTTTGAAATAGATGTTGCTTTGTTTAAAGGACGACTGATCTTCTCTGTTTTTCTTAGTTTTAGACCGACACCCTTACAAATTTTGTCTGTCTATAGTTTATTTCTCTTTACCAAGGAGCTCTATTTCTTTTCCAAAAACTTCAAACAAATAAATACAAATCTTGAGCCTCACTATTTCACTGAGTAGGTACAAACATTTAGTTTAAATTAATGACTGAAAATGATCCCAAGCAAATAAGATTTGCTGCTGGTTACTCCTGTTAGTTCCTAGCTTTTTTTTTTTTTTTTTAGAATTTGTTTATTCTAAAAGTTCATATTTATGACGCCTTTTTCAAAATGTGTTGTCTTCAAAGAGAACAAATAGGCTGAAAATGAGACTCAGAAAGTTTTTTTTCTTGTCTTTTTCAGAAATGAAGACTTTTCTTGCATTTGCTGTAATTTTGAGCTTTCAGTCTGGGAAATATTCTAACATTTGACATCATATGAGCCCCTCGCAACAATAGAAATGACTGAAGGTTTCTTTGTGTCCCCCTGCAGTCCAGAGTTCCTCCCTCCAATGACTTCAAAGCAGGGATGAAACTTGAGGCGCGGGACCCTCGCAACTCCAACTCGGTGTGCATTGCCACGGTGATGGGCATGATGGGAACCCGTCTGCGCCTGCGTCTGGACGGCAGCGACAACACCAATGACTTCTGGCGGCTGGTCGACTCATCGGACATCCAGCCAATAGGAACCTGCGAGAGGAACGGAGACATGCTGCAGCCACCCCTTGGTGAGAGGATTTAAACTGCTACAGGCAACACTGTTATTTATGCATTTTCATGTTTGTGTTTTCAGTCTGGTGCTTGTTTGTGAATTGATACATGAAGTGTGTCAGAAAAGTTCCAGGACTGGTGTCACAAAAGATATATTTCAAACCCAAACTACAAGTTTTCCCCTTCGAAGTAATCCCCCTGGAGTCTGACGTACTTCCCCAGCCTTCTCTGCCACACCGCCATGCACTCCTGGAAGGAATCTTCCGGGATCCTCCACAGCTCCATCATCACAGCCATCTTGATGTCGTTCATGTCTTCAAAACGGGTCCCCTTGATGACCCCCTTGAGCTTGGGGAAGAGGAAAAAAATCACACAGAGCCAGATGGGGTGAGTAGGGAGGTTGTTCCAGCACGGCGATGTTCTTCTCAGCCAGGAACTGTCGGATGCTCAGAGCGTCGTGAGCAGGCGCGTTGTCATGATGAAGCTGCCACGACTTGTCCTGCTGAAACCCTCGCCTCTTCTCGCACACTGAACGAAGCAAACGCTGCAGGATCTCTTTGTAGACGTGCTGGTTGATGAAGGGGAAAACTCGTAGTAATGTGAAATATATCTTTTGTGACACCACTCCTGGAACTTTTCACACCTCGTAGTTGAGAAATTATAGTTTTTACAAAATGGCAAATACCTTGCAAAATACATTACACATTTACACAATGAAATATAATGACTCTAATAGTTCTCTGATACAGGAGTTTTCATTTGAATTGCCTCATTAGACTTTTCCTACTGACTGTGTAGGCTTGTTTAAACTGTGCCTGATTGACACTTTGTTGACTCTCCTGCTAATTTAGTCGAACCACAGGCCTTCTTCACAGCAGACATTTGGACTTGTAATAGCATGAGGATCACTACAACATTAACGCTGTTATAGTCCATCGTCTCAGTACAGCTTTATCCACATGTACACAAACATAATTTTAATCATTCACAACATGCGTTTTAGCCTTTCGTCCACACCGAAATGCACTTTTAGGTCACTGAACATTAACCTTTTTAAAATCTCTTTTCATGGTGAAGACTTTCAGAGGCTGTGTAGACAGAGAGACGCAGTGACTTTTGGAAACAAAAACCTCACCTCAGTTAACAGCTTTGAGCCTCTTCGCATCCTCTTTTCTACGTCCTCCTGCTTGTGACATGGAAATCCGTCTTGTTATGGCATCTTGAAGGATGTCTCACTACCGAAAATGCATATTGAGGAGAGAGGATGCACAGATGTAGCCTCGATGAATCCGATGAGTCGTTTTCGCACCTGTAACATAATATACAAACCATGTTGGGAGCAGGACTGTATAAATGTCTTATCTCTATGTGTATATCATCATAATTTCTTTCACTTTTTATTTGTGTGACACTCCTACATGTGTCATGCCTCCTATACTTCACAACATGTATTTTAGTGTTGGTATGATATTGTACATTCGGCTTACAAATGAATCTAAATATATACTCTAAGTTGTTATTAACATTGCTCTGCTCATCTGACAGAGATCAGAAAATACAGCAGTAGGCTTTAAAAAAACAATGCACAGATGACGTAGCCGCACCGTGCGTAGGATTTAATTGACGTTGCTGTGAAATGGCAGCTCTGAATCAGGATATCTCATTTTGTTAGCTGTTAACTCTTTGCCTCGACTCCTCTCTCCTCATGTCTCCTCCACCTGCGGGAGTGACCGAGATGCAAGGAAAGGAATAGAGGCTGCTCAGACAGAGAAATGAGAAAGGAGGACAGTCACCGATGTCTGCTTCCTGATTGGCTTTCAGCAGTCGCTGCCTTCCCTTCTCTGATTTGTCACGCCCCTGTCACATGACTCCACAACCAGGCAACCCACCCTCTTCTGTTTTCTGTTTACACCAGCACACCAAGGACCACTGTATGAGAACAGCCATGTGTCCCGCATTTCCAGGCTGTTCGTATGTACAGGGATGATTTCTGAAACGATTCTAAATTGCTCATCTGGATGGAAATAATTTTGCTTTAAAACACTGTTTTTAAATAATTAAAAAAAAAACAACATATTAATAGCTTCAGTCACAACAGGGTGGCAATACCAGAACCCTGAAACTGAAGCAGCTAAATAGACTTCAGCCATCACTATTTCCTGGCATGTTTATGTTGTGGTGTGTCCACGTGTCTTCTGTTGGAAAAAGACAGTTTTAGGGACATCAAGTCATTTCTGACAAGACAGTGTCTCAGTTTAAACCTCAACAGAGACTTCACCAGCAAGATACTCAACAAATACCCAACAAATCATCATATTTTTTAACACTGATGCAAGAATCCTATAGAAATCCAGGATTAACTAAAAGAAGTCCTGCTCACTGATTTGCAGCATTGCCCTCTTATACGCCCACAGGTATAAAAGGAATTAACGCCTCCGTGTAAACAGTATAATTTTGACCTTGTACACAGGTTTCAGGATGAATGCATCCTCATGGCCCATGTTCCTCCTGCGGACACTCAGTGGTGCAGAGATGGCCCCCGCTTCTGCTTTTAAAAAGGTAATGACAGCTGAATGAAAAAAAAAAAAAAAAGAATTCACAGTTTCACAAAAATGAGTGAGAGCAAAGCCACATTTAGAGCAGATCCTTTCTGAGACACACAAAGTCTGCAATGTAATTATCGTTTTGCAGTCAAGGTTTTCAAATTCATTAGTTTATTCTTTCATACAACCTTTATTTACACTTCAAGAGTTTGTTTAGTCGAGGCACGCTATTTCAATGACACTGAGTCAAATTACAAAAGCAACTAGAAACAAAAAGAAAAATAAGCAACAAACAGGTATAAATGATGGATTCATTTTCAAAACTCACCATTTATAAGTAGCAATAGATAAAGTTAGTTGGAGTTCAGGGATAAGTATTGATAAAATTTCAAAAGTGGGTTGAAAAATGTTTTCAGATATAGAAAAGTTGTATTTTTTGTGTGTGGTTATTATTATTGCAGTTACCAGTCCAGACACAAGGGGGAGCCACTCAGAAATCACAGCTCATTCTGATGTTCAGTGCTAAGAGATGACATATGTTGTGAATCGGCGCTATATAAATAAAATTTAAATACTTGTTTGGACAAAATATCAGTAGATATCTTCAGTGTTTATTACAGCAAAAAGGGAAGGAAGTGTTTCAACAGATGCAGAAAAATATGTTGTTATAGTTCTTGTTTTATTTCTTCTTTCTTTTTTTAGTAGTATAAAGTATGTGTGTAACTATGTCATTCTTTCAACACTGATTTTTTTCCTCCCATAGTTAAAGTTCACTATGATAAAGAGGAGATTTTCTCTTCTGCATGTTATTTTCTTCTGCATGAAAGCAGAAAAGCTGTGAATGTCTGTTGGTTTGATTTACATATAAACATGTGTGTTTAGGAACCAGCCAGCCCTGCAAAAAACTACTTCCAGCCTGGTATGAAGCTGGAGGCGGTGGACAGGAAGAACCCCTACTTGATTTGTCCGGCCACAGTGGGGGAGGTCAGAGGTCAGGAGATCTTCGTCATGTTTGACGGCTGGCGAGGCGCCTTCGACTACTGGTGCCCGTTCGACTCCAGAGACATCTTCCCCGTTGGCTGGTGCACCCTGACGAAACACAGCTTACAGCCACCCGGAAACTTCTGTAAGTGCAGCTTCAGTTTATGTTCTGTCTCGCTACGCATTTTGTGGAACAGGAAGTCTGTTTATATCAGATACCAACTTATGGAAGAAGTGATTCTCATGTTTTGGGCAGTTTAGCAAAAGATGATCGACCTTGTCCTCACTCAGGAGGTTTTCATATTGATAACATTATAATGCAGTTTAGATCACCATCTGTTTGCATTCAAATCAAGACAGTTTCACGCTTATGGGTTCATGTCACACTTTCATGTGTTAAGTGAAATGAATTAACCCTTTATGGGGCAATTGGCCATATTTGGTAACGTCCTTGGACGTTCAATATGTCCACCCTGTGCCTCTCCTTGAGGTTGAAGAACCACTTTGCACTTTGATTTAGTTTTTATGTGAGTGCCAATATCACTACCTTACGAAAAATGTCACTAAACAAATGTTCCAGGCACCTTATAAACGCTTTGTTTCTGGTTTGCATTGAACTCCACTTTGATTTATTTTTTGAGATTAGTGTCACTAATACCACTACCCCAAGAAAAATGTTACTAAATGAACTTGTCAAGCACTTTATAAATACTTTGTTGCTGGTTGTGTAAGTATCATTACCTCAAACTAAAAAGCTTCTACATTTTTTTTTTTTTGCAGTTTGTTACCTTTTCTTTTATTTATTATAAATTCCATTTTTCTAACCGTTGATAGGCAAGTTACCATATATGGCAACTTTACTAGTCTTGATTTGCAAAATTTTTTTTATAAATCACAAAAGTAAAAATATCTTGAAGTATCCTTCAATAACATGCCAGGGTTGAAATTTTCATTTTCCAAGTATTTCAAGGAGTGCTCTATAAAGGGTTAAGGATAAAATTAGTTGAACTGATTATTCATATGATGCTGTGATGGGTGTGTGTGAGGGTTTGACTGAGGTTTGTGTCAATATTCTTTAACCCTCTAAAGCCCAAAACCTGCAGCAGTTTGAAAAGTTATGTATTTAAAAAGTCACCAAAACAACACTATTTATCAAAACCACGAAATGCAGTACCATAGACAAAATCAAGCAAATTCAAGCTTACAATTATGATATTTTATTAAAACTCTTTATGTGTCTTATTCAAAAATGTGCTAAATTTGTACAAAAACAATGCTGTAAAAAACCCTATTAATTCTGCACTCCTCAGCACAAATGTGAAGCCATAGGTTGACTCCAGCGCATTAGTTGCGTGACAGAAATTCCAGGACCGCTGGGCCGAACTGGGCCAAACTGGGCCGCATTGCAGGCAGTGTTTGCACAAAGCAGATATGAGACAAGTATGGAAATAAATTACAAGTATTAAATATATCTATACTGTGTTAATGTGTGTCACCATTTTTTTCCATATTGGTATAAAAAATTAGTAGTGAAAACATTTTTAGCATTTTCTAAAATTAATATTACCGTAAGCGATAATACTGTAATTACCGCACTTGGAGAAATGTAAAAAAATATTAATTCCGTGTTTTCAATTTCAACTCGTTATACTGCAAAAACAAACTCTCTGTACTCTCTGCTTTTTCCATAGAGGTGCAGGATTTTATATTGCACTGAAAAACGAACACACAGTGAGTAAAAGAAAGAAAAGTGAAGAAAGTGCTTGGAGTTGAGAGGGTTAAGATGCAGAATATGACTGTATTATCTTTGAAATTACTGTTATGTTGTCATTTCAATAGTCCTGAAATGTTAAAGTATAATAATTGTGGTCGTAGTACTCTGAATTCCTTTGGTTCTTGCAGTTGTTAGACAGGCGTGGTTGTACCGGTGATATTTAAAGGACAGTATGAACTTTGACCACTAGAGAGCAGCAGAGAGTCAACATTTAGCCCACGTCAGCTAAATCATTAAAGGCAAATTGTGGTAGGAGCCAGACAGCAGAGGAGTGGAGCCGACTTTGTGAATGAAACAAGGAATGAATGAGAAGCAAAACAAAACATCCTGGCTGCTCGCTGCTCTCATCTCTCTTCAATCAGCCTTCATACTGAATGTTGTGCTTCTGCTCTAATGGAAGGACTAAAGCTGTTTTACAAACAAAGAGGCCTTGTTCAGGACATCTTCAAACCAGAGTGTCTTGTGTCTCCAGATAAAATTTGCTCTTAACATCAGAACATGTCTGAAACAGTTTTGTCAGATTAGTTTCATATTCTATTCAACTTTTCTGCTCACAATTTATTTATTTGTTTCCTAAAAAGGAAATTATTTCTAAAAGATAGCAGTCTTTACATTGCAAACTTAAACCTGCTTCATTCACTTGGATATGCATAAATATGAATAGGTTCATAGGATGCTAGTAGGATGTTAACTGTGTTTTTTAAGCCATTTAATTTGTTGTGGTGTAAAACAAATACTATGGAATTTATTAGATGCTCCCTGAGGTTTGGATCAGTCATGGATAGATTTGCATTTTCTGCTTAATCAGGAGATTTATCCCTTCATAGATTTGTTGTTTAATCTTTACATTTCTGGAAAGTAGATAACAGTGATCACTCTCCAAAACCACAACTTGACAACTTCAAATTATGACTTGTTTTTGTCAGACCAACAGTCCCAACCACAAACATATTTAGTTCACAGTGATGTCAAATAATGCAAAAAATAAAAATAAAGTAAATCCTCACATTCGAGATTATAAAACCAGCAAGTGCTATGTAGCTGACATGTTGAACAAAACTGCAGCGCTGCCTTGTAATGCAGGTCTGTGTGGTTGATATGTTAACCACAGCAGCGTGATGAGCAAAATGGAGAGCTAATTATTAATAGAAGCTGTTATGTTGTTTAACCAAAGATTATTAACTCTGGTGAAAGAAGCATTCAGATCATTTACTTCAGTAAAAGAACTGCTGTGTGACGAAATTCAGTTACAGTCCATTTTTTAAAAATTCTACTTTCATAAATATAAATACATATTATCATAAAGATGTAAAACAAACAAACAAACTGAACATAAATAAACTGAAATGAGCATTTTTTTAAATCAGAAGGTTGTTGAGGTGAAGCTAATTTTATTTGTTTTATATACTTTTGTTGTTAGCAGTGCATTATATTTGATAATCCAGAATTAATCCTGGAAATAGGAAGTAGCGTAAAGTGAAAATACACAAATAAAGATCTAAGTGATTCTAATAAAATGATATGTCATCATGTGTGCTTTCAATTCCCAATGCAGTGATGCTTCTTTTATTTTTTTAACAGTGTAACTACTCACTTAGAATTCAATAGTAATTGTTTTTCAGTTGATTCTGTTTTAAGTCATTAAACAATTATTTAAAATATTTGTTCAGTGCATACTGAGCAGTAAAACGAGGAGATACAGAGTTAAATAAATTTAGTTCAAGCAGAATCATTTGCCTCTCAGGCGCTTGATTATGTTTCTTCTGTTGTTCAAGCAGTTTGAAAAGGAAGAAAAAAATTAGGAATATGAAAGTCTTTTTGGGAATATTAAGGCGTGAATTGCATTTGTTCCTTTCGGTTTGTGTATTTTTTTCCTCCCTGTTTTGTGTTGAGTTGGCTGGCTTTGTTGGCGAGGTTGTGACCCGCAGCTCTGACCTCCGTACAGAGTCGGCAGAGTTCCCCAAAGACTCCACGAATCCGCTTGAACAGATTCCACTTTCTGATCTTTTTATCATATATTAGTGCTGCTTTCCATGACTACAGGCTGTTTTTTTTGTTTGTTTTGTTTGTTTTTTTTTATTGTGTGGTAGTTCAGGCTGCTCTCGACTCTGTTTGCCCTTTTAAAGATGTGACAAAACCATAATCATAATAATCGTAGATTTTTTCATGCAAATATAAGTTTAGTGACGTTGAGCCAGAAACAGGACATCTGAGGTTAAAATCCTCTGAGACGTCTTGTGTTTGTACATCATTTAAAATAATCGAGAGCTCCCTCACACCTTTATAGAGGCGTCCTGTCTGTTTCATTTTGCATCAAAATGAGTTTTAATTCTGAAGAAATTCAGTTCAATACGATATAATTAAACAGAATAATAATTGTGTGTTTCATTGAAATGTCAGATTTCTAAATAGGGGTAGAGGACGAGTATCAGCAAAGATGGCACAATTGATTTAAGATCTTTAGATTTTTTTGGACACTATTCCTGTCAGACTAACAATTTATCCTCAATTAAATTAATTTAATAAACACACAGTTGCGTAAATAATAATTTACATGAACATTTAGGACACTCAAACTTTAAACCCTTTTTTCAAAAGCAAGATGGATTGCTGATTTTTTTTTCACATTTAAATTATCCTCTAAGTACCAAAACTAATTATGTGCAGAAAATGTCTGCTTTGCTATTTTTAACCACACTTTACTATTAAACTTGACTTTACTATTTTATATAAAACAGTTCTTCTTGGACCAAATCTAGGAGCTTGTTTATTTCTTTTAATAATCTTTATTCGATAAAGACCCTGTAAGGCTGTAAACCTCTTTTGCAAACAAAACCAGTCCAATGTAGTGGCATCAAAACAACCCAAAACACAAGCTGCTGCTGTTATCATAGATGACACTGATGAAGCTGTAACTTTCCAGTTCAGCCCTTTTTCACACAGCTTCTTCATTAGCATGCTTTCATTTCTTATTTTGCCAAACTAAACGTTATTTGATTGAAACATTATTTGCAGGAGCTTCTTCTGCCTTCGCCTTTTCAGTCCAATGTGACAAGAAACTTAGATATCAACTGTTTGAATAGTTAAATCTACTTAAAAATGCTTCTCTAACTGTTTGTAACGGTTCTCAAACATGCAGGTTTCTTTGAGGCCTCTTGTGATAGACAAACATTATACTGATGTACTTTTAATTTTTTTTGCATCCCCTGAACATCTCCTAAATAAAACCTTCCTCGTCTGCAGAAACAAGATATTATTAAGCTGTGAAGGCTGTACTGAAGTATTAATTACCAATCAGTGTGTAATTATACGGTAATTACGCTCAGCAGCTACGCGAGTGTGTCGCCATGTGATTTGCTCTGATGCTGAAG